AAATCTCCAACCGCCATTTTTTTTCTCTTCTTCGCCTTTTTGGGGCAATTGTTATTTTCTGAAAATATAGAAATATTGATAACGAAATAGGAAAATTGTTGTGCAGAACGGAGCCATTCTTGAAGTGTGTATTAGAGAGCCGTTGTAGCCATTTATCCACATTGGAAAACACATCAATTGTGCGCGGTCCTCGGGGGGGCCTTTAATTCTCCGCGTATGGCACACATTAAGACTAATCACTATGGAGAGTTGTTGGGACCCCAGAGAGTAACACTCAGGTGTGCTCAGAGAAGCCACCGGCTTCCAGGACTGTAATTGTTTTCATGAACTAATTAATGAAAGAAGCTGGTGCTGCTGGGTGACATGTATTGGAAGGACGCTGTTTGTTGGGTCATGGGGACGGATTTTTTTTTTTTTTTCAAACTTTATTTTTATATTAACTTTTCCATCAATAACATATAACAATTCACCATATATTAAATCATACATTTTCTATATCAACATAAACCCATGCCATCCCTCCAATCCCCCCATTGTCACCTCCTATTCTACCCCTCTTTCTTCCTATTCTGAAATACTGTTTTGTTCCCCGCCTCTTATTTTTCTCTTCTGCTCTTCTTCCTTTCATGTATGTATATTAGTTGGGGCAGCACAGTGGCTAAATGGTTAGCACTTCCGCCTGGCAGTACTAGGGTCACTAGTTTGAATCCCAACCACAGCACCACCTGCCTAGAGTTTGCATGTTCTCCCTGTGACTGCGTGGGTTTCCTCTGGGTACTCCAGTTTCCTCCCACACTCCAAAGACATGCTGGTAGGTGAATTGGCTCCTGTCTAAATTGGCCCTAGTATGTGTATGAATGTGAGTTAGGGACCTTAGGTTGTACGCCCCTTGAGGGTTAGGGACCTTAGATTGTACGCCCCTTGAGGGTTAGGGACCTTAGATTGTACGCCCCTTGAGGGTTAGGGACCTTAGATTGTACGCCCCTTGAGGGTTAGGGACCTTAGATTGTACAACCCCTTGAGGGTTAGGGACCTTAGATTGTACCCCCTTGAGGGTTAGGGACCTTAGATTGTACGCCCCTTGAGGGTTAGGGACCTTAGATTGTACGCCCCTTGAGGGTTAGGGACCTTAGATTGTACGCCCCTTGAGGGTTAGGGACCTTAGGTACCCCCTTGAGATTGTACCTTAGATTGTACATCCCTTGAGGGTTAGGGACCTTAGATTGTACGCCCCTTGAGGGTTAGGGAGATTGGCCCCTTGAGGGTTAGGGACCTTAGATTGTACGCCCCTTGAGGGTTAGGGACCTTAGATTGTACGCCCCTTGAGGTTTAGGGACCTTAGATTGTACGCCCCTTGAGGGTTAGGGACCATTAGATTGTACGCCCCTTGAGGTTAGGGACCTTAGATTGTACCCCCCTTGAGGGTTAGGGACCTTGATTGTACGGAGGGTTAGGGACCTTAGATTGTACACCCCTTGAGAGTTGGGGACTGATGCATTGTATTGGTATTGTTCTGTCACATGTTCTGTCCCCCTTTGTAATGTACAGCGCTGAGCGAACTATTGGCGCTTTATAAATACTGTATAATAATAATAATAATAATAAAGCGCTGCGTAAATTAACGGCGCTATATAAGTACCTGAAATAAATAAATAAAATCTAAATATCTCCTAGAGTGTTTTAAAGATTATCCATCTGTCCAAAATATTTTGACATTTTTCAATTTTATCCTCTGCCCTATAATACAATTCCTCCATCCTATATATAAATTCTGTTCTATTTATCCAATCCATGGTTCTGGGGGGTTCCTGAGCCTGCCTAAACCTAGGATCAATCTCAGGAGCGTCCCTAGGGTTGATGTCACCCGGTGTGGTAACACGTGGTGTCACCCCTCCAGAGGTGGGCGGTCCCTGACGTGCACACACAACCTGGTTCTTCCCCTCCCTGTGTCCCCGTTGCACCCCCCTGGACCGGTGTTGCAAGATCATTTAACCCCGTATAGGTTGCAAGCTGACGATCCCCGCAAGATGGATCGGATCTGCAGATTGGGGAGCAGGATGGATCGGATCTGTGGTAACACGTGGTGTCACCCCTCCAGAGGTGGGAGGGTTAACTGATCTAGCAACACCGGTCCGGGGGGGGGGGGTGTGTGAGGGAGGGGAAGAGCCAGGATGTGTGTGCACGACAGGGACATACCTCTGTAACATACCACCTAACTAAAAATTTATAATTCATTTCTGTTCATATCTGCCGGGCCATGGAATTTTTTTGTTCCTGATTCAGATCTGAACTATGACATACTGAGGAGGCGTGGCCTCGTGCTGCTCCTATTGATGTTTTAATTGCTCCACATGTGTCTGACTGTTAGAGGCGTGCAGTAGATATGTGCGGCTTCTTTCATTCCGAATCAAAATTCAGACAAAACTTTTATTGTTCGGAAATTGGGATGGATGGATCCAAATTTCTGAATTACAATTCCTCCATCCTATATATAAATTCTGCTCTATTTATCCAATCCATGGTTCTGGGGGGTTCCTGAGCCTGCCTAAACCTAGGATCAATCTCAGGAGCGTCCCTAGGGTTGATGCCACCCGGTGTGGTAACACGTGGTGTCACCCCTCCAGAGGTGGGCGGTCCCTGGCGTGCACACACAGCCTGGCTCTTGCCCTCCCTGTGTCCCCGTTGCACCCCCTGGACCGGTGTTGCAAGATCATTTAACCCTGTATAGGTTGCAAGTCAACAATCCCCGCAAAATGGATTGGATCTGCGGTAATACGTGGTGTCACCCCTCCAGAGGTGGGTGGTCCCTGACGTGCACACACAGCCTGGTTCTTCCCCTTCCTGTGTCCCCGTTGCACCCCCCCGGACCAGTGTTGCAAGATCATTTAACCCCATATAGGTTGCAAGGCGATGATGCCCGCAAGATGGACCAGATCTACAGATTGGGGAGCATAATGGATCGGATCTGTGGTAACACGTGGTGTCACCCCTCCCAGAGGTGGGCGGGTTAACTGATCTTGCAACACCGGTCCAGGGGGGGGTTGACGGGGATACAGAAAGGGGAAGAGCCTGGCTGTGTGTGCACGACAGGGACCGCCCACCTCTGGAGGGGTGACACCACGTGTTACCGCAGATCCGATCCATCTTGGAGGATTGTCGGCTTGCAACCTATACGGGATTAACTGATCTTACAACACCGGCCCGGGGGGGGGGGGGGGGGTCGGGCGTGTGTGACAGGGACACAGAGAGGGGAAGAGCCAGGCTGTGTGTGCACGACAGAGACCGCCCACCTCTGGAGGGGTGACACCACGCGTGTTACCGCAGATCCGATCCATCTTGCGGGGATTGTCGGCTTGCAACCTATAAGGTATTAACTGATCTTCCAGCTCCGGTCCGGGGGGGATGTGACGGGGCCACAGAGAGGGGAAGAGCCAGGCTGTGTGTGCACGACAGGGACCGCCCATCTCTGGAGAGGTGACACCACGTGTTACCGCAGATCCAATCCATCGTGCTGTGCGGGGATCATTGGCTTGCAACCTATATGGGATTAACTGATCTTGCAACACTGGTCTGGGGGGGGGGGGGGGGTTGTTGTGACAGAGACACAGAGAGAGGAAAAGCCAGGCTGTGTGTGCACGACAGGGACCGCCCACCTCTGGAGGGGTGACACCACGTGTTACCGCAGATCCAATCCATCGTGCGGGGATCGTCGGCTTTACTTTTTGAGATAGGTGTCACCCGGTGCGGCCCGAACCCCCCACACCCACCTAGGGATGCCACTGATCAATCCCTTTGCCTCATTGATCAAATGAACAATCATCAAGCTCTTATACTGTTCCTCCGTGAGGTCAGTTTTATGAAATGAACATACCCAGGGGTCCTTCTGTATACTAATCCCCATTATTTCCAGATTTGTTTGTATTATTACCTCCCATAATTGCTGTATTTTAAGGCAATCCCACCATATATGTGCCACACTCTGTAACATACCACCTAACTAAACAATTATAATTAATTTCCGTTCATATCTGCCGGGCCATGGAATTTTTTTGTTCCTGATTCAGATCTGAACTATGACATACTGAGGAGGCGTGGCCTCGTGCTGCTCCTGTAGATGTTTTAATTGCTCCACATGTGTCTGACTGTTACAGGCGTGCAGTAGACATGTGCGGCTTCTTTCATTCCAAATCAAAATTCAGACAAAACTTTTGTTGTTCAGAAATTGGGATGGATGTATCCAAATTTCTGAATTACAATTGTAATGAATTTAAACAAATCTGAAATAACTAAACAAAATTTTGTCCAAAATAACGAATTATCCAAATTTGAATTGAATCTGAAATGAATTTGAAAACAAAAACAAATTTGAAATATAAACATATTGATGGCTATTGTTGATTTCCTTCAGGCCTGGTTTACACCAATGAAGTTTGCTTTTGACCTGCTTTTGCAATGCTTTTTGCATTTTGCTTTGCATTTGTAAACACGAGTTTTGTTTTTTTTTCCCTGCTTTTCTTTTGTTTTTGTTAAAGTGTTAAACCCACAACAGTAAAATAAATCTGTAGATGCAGTAAAAAAAAGCTTGTTATACTTACCATGGAACCTAAGGGGTTAATCCTCCGCATTTTGTAAAAACGCTGTTTGATCCTGACTTCTCTGATCCTCCCCTTCTTCAAGTGTCCCCCTTTTATCTCTTGATAAGCCATATTGTGTGGAGTCACTCTGCACATGCTCAGTTTGGTGTGTATTGCTAGAGAGGTTTTTTTTTTTTTCTTGGGAGAGTGCATGTGATCAGCACAGGGCCAATCAGCACTGTCCAGACAGAGGTCAGGGCTTCTGCATCCTCCTAGAGCAAAATGAAAACCTCTCCTACAAGCTTTAACCAGTACTCTACTGAACACTGATAGAAGTCACAAGACTGCTATATACTGCTGATGAGAAAAGGTGTTTAGCAGTTTATATTTACTAAAATAATTGCATTTCCATGTTGTGTGTACTGTGGGAGACCAGATATAGAGAATGCAGAGTCTGGGGAGAGCGGATATAGTGAATGCGGGGTCCGGGGAGCCCGGATATAGTGAATGCGGGGTTTCTTGGAGAGCGGATATAGTGAATGCGGGTCCGGGAGACCAGATATAGTGAATGCAGGGTCCGGGAGACCAGATATAGTGAATGCAGGGTCCTGGGAGAGCAGATATAGTGAATGCAGGGTCCGGGGAGAGCAGATATAGTGAATGCAGGGTCCGGGGAGACCGGATATAGTGAATACAGGGTCCGGGGAGAGCGGATATAGTGAATGCGGGGTCTGGGGAGAGCGGATATAGTGATTGCGGGGTCCGGGGAAAGCAGATATAGTGAATGCAGGGTCCGGGGAGACCGATATAGTGAATGCAGGGTCCGGGAGAGCGGATATAGTGATTGCGGGGTCTGGGAAGACCAGATATAGTGAATGCAGGGTCCGGAGAGAGCGGATATAGTGATTGCGGGGTCTGGGGAGACCGGATATAGTGAATGCAGGGTCCGGGGAGAGCGGATATAGTGATTGCGGGGTCTGGGAAGACCAGATATAGTGAATGCAGGGTTCGGGGAGAGCGGATATAGTGATTGCGGGGTCCGGGGAGAGCAGATATAGTGAATGCAGGGTCCAGGGAGACTGGGATATAGTGAATGCTGGGTCCGGGGAAAGCGGATATAGTGATTGCGGGGTTCGGGGAGAGCGGATATAGTGAATGCGGGTTCCGGGGAAACCAAATATAGTGATTGCAGGGTCCGGGGAGAGCGGATATAGTGAATGCGGGGTCCGGGGAGAGCGGATATAGTGAATGCGGGTTCGGGGAGAGCTGATATAGTGAATGCGAGGAACTGGGAGAGCGGATATAGTGAATGCAGGGTCCGGGGAGAGCGGATATAGTGAATGCGGGGTCCGGGGAGACCAAATATAGTGAATTCAGGGTCCGGGGAGACTGAATATAGTGAATGCAGGGTCTGGGGAGACCAAATATAGTGAATGCAGGGTCTGGGGAGACCAAATATAGTGAATGCAGGGTCCAGGGAGACCAAATATAGTGAATGCAGGGTTCGGGGAGACCAGATATAGTGAATGTAGGGTCTGGGGAGACCAGATATAGTGAATGCAGGGTCCGGGGAGACCAGATATAGGGAATGCGGGGTCTGGGGAGATCGGATATAGTGAATGCAGGGTCCGGGGAGATCAGATATAGTGAATGTAGGGTCTGGGGAGACAAGATATAGTGAATACAGGGTCTGGGGTTTAGTAACACTTTAAAGGGGGAATGTTTTTATTGCTGGGCAGAATAAAAAAACAACAACCGCAGCAAAAACACACTGCATGCATTTCAGCAGCATTTCCATTGAACTCTATAGTAGTAATAACGCTACTTTTTGTGTTGAAAAAAGTCCCCGACCCTTTCCAAAAATGCAGCTCAAAAAAGCATAGAGGTGAACGTGTCCCATAGAAAACCATGTTAGATGGACTATAGTGCATTTCTGAAAAAACACTAAAAAACGCATTGGTGTAAACCTGGCCTTATAGACTGTGTGTATTAGAATACAGCTGTCTTCCGAAATTTTGAATTTCAAAAAGAATGGAATAAAATAGAATAGAAAAAAATAAAATAATGGAATAGAATTAAATATAATCTAAAGGAATAGAATAGAAAATAGAAAGAATAATGAATTTTGAAAAGAATATAATAAAAAAGAATAGATCAGAATAAAACAGAATGGAATAGAAAATAATAGACTATAAAAGAGTGGAATAAAAAAAGAAAGGAATAGAATAAAAAAATGGATAGGAATAGAATAGAAACAAAATAGAATAGAATAAAATAAAATATTCATCTTCTCAAATCTGTATTTTGAAAAGAGCAGAATAGAACAGAACAATAAAATAGAATTGAATAGAAAATAAAATAAAAGAATAGAAAATAAAGAAAAATAATAGATTAGAAAAAAAATGATTATAGCTGTCTTCCAAATTTCAGGTTTTGAATAGGATATAACCAGCTATTCTTCACAATGAATTCAAATCAATATTTTATATTCAAATACTTCAAATCCATTGAAAAAAATGTAATCCGTTCAAAAGCAAATAAACGAAAATAAATTAGTAACGTAACGAATCGATTTGAAATGAAACGAAACAAATTTTTTGGTTCTGATACGTCTAGTGTGCAGACCACATGAACACTGATACTCCCAGACAGGATTGTTACCTTTATAAAACCACTTAGTAACTAGCGCTGTGCGGTCCTTCTGTTATCATTTCGCTGTGTTTACATTCTGTAACGCGTATTTTCCAGAGACTTGGTAGTCTCACAAATTCCTAACCTGAGATGGGACAAACGTTGGCACTGGAAGATGTTTTTGGTAATATCCTGCTGATGAGGGGGTCTTACTTCAAATTGGTGAGACCTGACTAGAGGGGGTTCCACACACTGGGAGGAGTCATCCTGCAAGTGGAAGGGAAGGGAGGGGATTCCACATCCTGGGAGGAGTCATCCTGCAAGTGGAAGGGAAGGGGGGATTCCAAATCCTGGGAGGAGTCATCCTGCAAGTGGAAGGGAAGGGAGGGGATTCCACAGACTGGGAGGAGTCATCCTGCAAGTGGAAGGGCAGGGCCGGATTGTACATCCTGGGAGGAGTTATTCTGTAAATGGAAAGGAAAGGGAGGGCATTCCACACACTGGGAGGAGTTATTCTGTAAATGGAAAGGGAGGGCATTCCACACACTGGGAGGAGTCATTCTGTAAATGGAAAGGGAGGGCATTCCACACACTGGGAGGAGTCATTCTGTAAATGGAAAGGAAAGGGAGGGCATTCCACACACTAGGAGGAGTCATTCTGTAAATGGAAAGGGAGGGCATTCCACACACTGGGAGGAGACATCCTGCAAGGGGAAGGGCAGGGCCGGATTCTACATCCTGGGAGGAGTTATTCTGTAAGTGGAAAGGAAAGGGAGGCATTCCACACACTGGGAGGAGTTATTCTGTAAGTGAATAGGAAAGGGAGGGCAATTCCGCACACTGGGAGGAGTCATTCTGTAAGTGGAAAGGAAAGGGAGGGCATTCCACACACTGGGAGGAGTCATTCTGTAAATGGAAAGGGAGGGGATTTCACACACTAGGAAGAGTCATTCTATAAATGGAAAGGGAGGGCATTCCACACACTGGGAGGAGTCATTTTGTAAATGGAAAGGGAGGGCATTCCACACACTAGGAAGAGTCATTCTGTAAATGGAAAGGGAGGGCATTCCACACATTGGGAGGAGTCATTCTGTAAATGGAAAGGGAGGGCATTCCACACACTGGGAGGGGTCATTCTGCAAGTAGAAGTGAAAAGATTCCACCTATTTGGGGTGGGGGGGTTCCTTCAGCATGTTGAAAGGAGAAGATTCCACACACTGGGAGGGGTCTAACTGCAATTTGAAGGCTAGGAAAGTAGAGAATTTGCATACTGGGAGGGGTCATTTTTGCAGGATGTGTGGAGGGGATTTAATTCACTGGGAGAAGTCATTCTACAAGGGGAAGGGAGGGGATTTCACACACTGGGATGGGAAGGGAGGGTATCCCACACAGTGGGAGGGGTCACTCTGTGGATGGAATGGAAGGGAGGGGATTCTACAAACTGGGGGGGGTCATTCTGTAAATGGAAAGGGAAAGGCGGGGATTCCATACACTGGGATGGGAAGGAAGGGGATTCCACACACTGGGAGGGGTCATTCTGTGATGGGAAGGGACAGCAGGGGTCAGTCTGTGATGGGAAGGAGGGGGATTCCACACACTGGGAGGGGTTCCCTGTGACAGGAAGGAAGGGTGGGGTCATTCTGTGGTGGGAGGGAAGGGGATTCCACACACTGGGAGGGGTCATTCTGCGATGGAAAGGGAGGGGTCATTCTGTGGCGGGAAGGGCAGGGATTCCACACATTGGGAGGAATCATTCTGTGGACGGAAAGGAAGGGAGGGGTCATTCTGTGATGGGAAGGAAGGGGATTCCACACACTGGGAGGAATCATTCTGTGATGGAAAGGGAGGGGTCATTTTGTGGTGGGAAAGGGAAAGGGAGGGAATTTCACGCACTAGGAGGGGTCATTCTGTGATGGAAAGGGAGGGGATTCCACACACTGGGAGGGGTTATCTTGTAAGTGGAAGGGGCGGTATTCCACACACTGGGAGGGGTCATTCTGTAAATGAAAAGGGAAGGGCGGGAATTCCACACACTGGGAGGAGTCATTCTGTGGATGGAAAGGAAGGGAGGTGTCATTCTGTGATGGGAATGGCGGGGATTCCACACACTGGGAGGAGTTGTTCTGTGAGGGGAAGGGAAGGGAGGGGTCATTCTGTGATGGGAAGGGAGGGGATTCCACACACTGGGAGGAATTGTTCTGTGAGGGGAAGGGAAGGGAGGGGTCATTCTGTGATGGGAAGGGAGGGGATTCCACACACTGGGAGGAATTGTTCTGTGAGGGGAAGGGAAGGGAGGGGTCATTCTGTGAGGCGAAGGGAAGGGAGGGGTAATTCTGTGATGGGAAGGGAGGGGTAATTCTGTGAAGGGAAGGGAGGGGTAATTCTGTGATGGGAAGGGAGGGGTAATTCTGTGATGGAAGGGAGGGGTAATTCTGTGAAGGGAAGGGGGGGTAATTCTGTGATGGGAAGGGAGGGGTAATTCTGTGAAGGGAGGGGTAATTCTGTGATGGGAAGGGCAGGGATTCCACACATTTCATGCAACAGCTTTTCTGGGTTTTTTTCTATTTCCGATCGCTGTGATTAGTTATGTTGCTAACACAGAAAACGTCAGCGCTAAACCTAAACCAGCAACACACAGACACATCTATTAGTCAGCTGTGACACCTAAATCAGAACACAATAGAAAAAAAAAATAGGGAATTGCTAAAAAAAGAAATAATAGATTGCACCAGGATTAGAGCTGCGTAACTTAATGGTGATAAGTCTTTACAGTCATCTGTATATAAATGCCATCGGCCTAATTTCCCATAGTGGGAATACAGCGAACATGAGCAGAGAAATTGCTCAGAGCGGCTTCATAAATAGGCAAAACGCAAAACAGAAAGATCGATTTTTGCCTTTATCAGGCACCAGCATGTAGTTCGGCCTTCACGCCGGCAGGGGGCGCACACACCACCTGGGAATACAGTTCATCCACTTGACCCAGAAGATGTGAGATCAGCATCAGATGTGACACATGATACAGGTTCACATTTCCTCCTCTGTCACTGGATGGGGGACAATAATTAGAACTTCCCCGGTTGCTTTTTTGTTTATCACAAAGAAGAGGCCCATTAAAGGGCAAAAACCGACACCCTGCCATTTCTTCGATGGAAATATTGGGTTTGACATTGTCGCCTGGTTTAAAAAGCAGCTGATGGTAATTCAACGCTCTCCACCGCACTCCACAAAGATGGACACATTCAGCGAGAACCATTTGTGGAATTTCCCAAATTTAAAAAATTTTTTTTTTGGCTTATAATTTTACACCAATCATTTATTACGCATTTCATTATTTGTAGAGAAGAGAATATCTGGAGAAGCAGCTCCACTTAAGATGGCCTCTTGATTTTCAGTAATAACTACGAGGGCTGATTCACACTTTAGCGATACGTTAACGTGCGTTTAACCAGAAGATGAATCAGCTTATAGCTTTACTTTCCTGATTCCTCCCCTCCCCCCTCATTTACATGCAAATGAAGTCTTTCTGTTTTCATTGCATACCTTATTTTGGACCCTGTGATGTCATCACTTGGTCTCTGTGCTTCTCTATGCAATGCAGGCAGATAATGGCTGGTGGGAGGGGCTGGCATGGGGCTGTACATAGCTCCCTGAAACCATCACATGACTCTGCCTCAGTACTCCTCTCCAGAGCCCTCAGTCCTGATGCACAGGGTGGGCTGGCTCT